CATTGGCTGAAGTAGGTCATGGTGAGGAGAGAGGAGGAAGTGTCTTACGCATGTGGATGCAAAGAGAGATAGCAGCGTTCTAGAAGGGCGTAGCGTATATGATATGGAATACCCGATAATAATTCAAATAATTGTCAAAGCTTTCCAAACAAAATAACATGTTTCGCATCGATTGGAGAGCTTGGTAGGTAGGTGATGGCGGTTGGTAGTTTTTTCTGGTGAGTTGAAAAATAAAAAATAAAGAATCCCAATAAATAAACAGTTCGAGGAAGAGCCCCGAAATTCTGGTGGTCCATTAGGCGAAACTTTGGTGACTTATTTGACGAGGATGAGGTTTTTATAAGGCCTAGGCTTTATGAAACACAATAAAGCCTCACCTCAAATCTTCATCTAAAAAGCACTTTGACAACATAAATCTCCATGATCGCTTTAAAAACAATTCTCAATACAGACAATAAAACTTGAAACTCAAAAAAAATGGAACGCAAATATTTGAACACTTCTTTTTGCAGCGAAATGAACAGTCCAGATAATTTGTTAAAACATACATTATTTTTAGAGCTTGAAATCGTAATAATTTTTTCACCACCACAACATTCAAGCCGAGATGATCGATGTAAAGGTTTTTCAATGCTCGAATTGTAAATTTTGATGAGTTATAAGGTGAGGCTTTACCTATTTTAAGAAGGCTGCAGCCCTATCAAACCATTTTGACATATATATGCTACTGATTCATGAGATCTTACCATCCCAATAACAAAATAGAGAGGAGCCCAAAAACCAACCCGCTCTTCAAATAATTAAAACTCCAGATTATTAAAAACTCACTCTCTTTCTTCTTTCTCTCTCATGTATTTGGTAGAGAGAGGGAGAGGGAGAGAGAGAGAGAGGATCCGGGAAATCAACCTTGGGATAGAAGGAGGGAATGGCATGTGCTTCCACGTGCACACGAGGAAGGAGGTCCGGTCCCTTTCCTTCCCTGGTCAAAGGGCCTTCATAAGTTACACGTGTCCTGAAATTATTGGTGTAGAGACACATATTTTACAATTATGAGGAGATTTTTCTTTTTTAATGTTTTTGATAAGGTGGTCTTTTATCATATTGTTTGGGTGTGTTCTTAATTGCGATAGAGAAATGGACTTTCTTTAATAAAAAAATACTTCACATGTCTGGAACGTGAGCTGCTCTTGAATGGTGGGGATTTTGATTAATTTCAATTTAATTAATCCAAGATTAAGGTTAGGGGAAATGTTCACTTCATAAAACCTTTACTTCCAAACACTCTTACCCTCTCATGGGGGAGTTCAATATCCTCAAAATTAGTGAGAACACGGATTTGGGGGCCCTAAGTTGAAGGCCACCCATAGATTTTAGGGTGGGATCAGCCTTGCTAATCCCAACTCACATGCCCTTTTTATTACTCATCAATCCCACATGCTTTTCACTTCCTTCCCCATCCACTATCCATGTTATGCTTATACCCTCTTTTTTCCTTCCATTTGCTGCTGGCTACTACATGGTGTGTTATTTTGTTATTCCACATCTCTTTCTCTTTCTCTAGTGTTTGAGCTTTATATTGACATATTCTTCGATATTTCTTTCGATTTTTTTTTTAAGGGTGAGGTTTGCATAGGGTTGCAAACCTTAAACAATCGAAAATAAGGTGAAACCTCCAAATAAGATGTAATTTTGGTGTCAAAAATTTTCAGGATGGCCCAATTAATTATTTTCATCTCTAACCCCAAAAAATAGTTCAAATCAAGCGGTCCAGATAATATGTTGCAAGATGTATTATTTTTAGGATTTGAAATATGTTTTTTTCTTTTCTTATCCATATATCTTTATGTCGAGATTATCAATTATATGATTTTTCAATATTGAAACAACATTTCCCAATGAATTTCTAAAGTGCACCTTAATTCTATATTTATCATCCTTATATAAACTTCTTTTCCTTGTTTTAAATTTTATGTTAGCATATTGGGATTGGATATGAATTTCCAACAGTTTGACATTTCTCTTTAAGAGAGAGAGGGATGGGGGGGGGGGGGGGATTGACGGTGGAAATGGATTGCATGAACAGGCTGGGCCGAACAACTCCTTTTGGAAAAGATATTTCCATCTCTTTCATAGCCCTTCCCTCAAACATAGACACATTTTAATGTCCAAATCTGAAGCCCTTTTTTGCCTGTTCTAATTTTCTAGAGCTTTGATTTTTTATTTTTTTTATTTTTTATGGTAGGTAAAGAATCACGGCAGGTTTGGAGAAGGAAAGAGTAAAGACAGGATTGTGTTTGTGATGAGAGAGAGAGAGAGAGCTCAACAACTTTTTATTTAGTTTTTAACCCAAATAAATAACTGGATAATGTGGTAAAATATGATGCAAAGCATAAGCCGCACGCATGTGGTATCCCAAACTTGTATACACGGTCACGGATGTGAATAAAAAATAAATGGTACAAGTATTTAAGGGTGTCGGATGCGCTTTCCAAAATAAATTCAATGGGACAGTCAAGCCCAAAAGGCCACATACTTTCTATTATATATATAATTATTCAGGTAGGTACCGTGGCCCAAGTCACCATTCAATTTATTGATCTTATTTCTTCATGTTTTATTTATCATATCTAAACAAATTACAAGGTAAAGCCAGATACGGTTATTAATTGACGATTGGCAGAACAAAAATATCTAATTAAGAGGCCCACTCTTCCATTTTTCCATAAACTCTCCATTATAAAAGAAAAAATTTATGTGAGATTGCAATCTTATAATGTAGAGCTACAGATGCACCTCAAAAATCCATCGGACAAGATACTGGTACTTTTAATGTTGAATTCATTGACCGTACAAAACAAAAAGATTATTAGCCTAAAAAATAATGTATTTTACAACATATTATCTGCATCATCCATTTTCGAAAAATTTATATGTTTATAGATTTACTTGATTTTAACCAGTTTTTAAATTTAAAATTTTATAATTAGATATAAAAATAGATTTTGAGATTATATACCATGATAAAATTTGAAGACGAACCTTATCTCTACAGCTATGGATGCATCCGTATGCAAACTGCACCCCTATTATTTTGTTTAATATTTCTAGTGAAAAGTCTTTCTTTTAGGGTCACATAATAAATAAAAAAAGAAAATTAGGGTCAGCACAAAAAAAAAAGAAAAAAGAAAATCCCTCTATAAAAATATTGGAGGCCCAGAAGTTGGTCATGTAAGATGTGGAGGGGTGGAGACAAGGTCCTATGCATGGAGTGTGGGAAAATATGATGAAGTGATGTGCAATGGAAATATCGGGGAACAGGGCGGTTAGTGTTAATCAATCAATAATAAGGTAAGAAAAAACTTTTGACAAAGGATCTACAGCTCCTATCTCACAGCAACGCGTGTTATAGATATTTTCATGCCTTGTTTAAGAAGCAGTCGGGGAGGAAAACTTTTGACCACCGATCTGGACCGTCCAATCAAGTAAAAGTTGCATGATTGCTATGGGATACATCACCACATTTTCACACGTAGGTTTTGCGAAAGTTCTTAGGCTTCAAGCAAGGGAAGCCACATCCACCAATTGGAAGAGAGCATTCATACATAGCACTAAAGCAGGAGAATAGAGCGTTGAAAGGAAAGCACGTTAGATACACGTAACACTAAAGATAAAAGGACCAATGTTCTTCTGACTTGTATCTTTCTCATTACTTTCGATCAAATTTTTTTTTGTCCTACCCTTTTTTTTTTTTTGGCTTGGGCTTTCTACTTTAATCAATTCATATATATATATATATATATATATATATATATATATATATATATATATATAGTAGTAGTTGTTAGTTAGTAGTACGTACGTACGTACTACTAACTAACTAACTAATTA